TTGAGTGTTTTTTTTTTTTTTTTTTTTTTTTTGAATTACCAACCTCATTTTTTCATAAGGCTTTTGGCGGTGCTATTATGAAAAGCCTAGTCCACAGTCGTTTTTTGTTGCTATTTAAAATATCCTTATCCACAGTCCTTCTGAAGACCTTTTCTATTTGTAAAATCTGGAGAAATTCAAAGAGGGCTGATAGTCTTGCCTTATTTAATGTACCCTTAAATGTGATGGATCAAGCATCGGATGCTCCGGGATTTCTTCTAGAAAGATTTTTTTACCAAAGTATATTATTTTGGTGCCTCAAAACGGGGTGAATTTTTATTAAAGACTTTTTTGGATAGCTCGAATATTCGTGGATTTACTAATGAATATTTTTTGGCAACTCGAATAGTCGGGGATTTTTATTATGGAATATTTTTGGGTTGGCTTGAATAGGCGTGGATTTTTATTAAAGAATATTTTTTGCGTAGCTCGAATAGGCGTGGATTTATTAAAGAATATTTTTTGGTGTCTGGAATAGGTGTGGATTTTATTAAAGAATATTTTTTGGTGGCTTGATTTTTATTGATGAATATTTCTTAGTGGCTCGAATAAGCTTGATTTTTATTAATGAATATTTTTTGGTGGCTCGAATAGGCCTATATTTTTATTTCTCCTCTACAAAATTCCGTCATGAATAACTTAAAAATGCCATAATTTTTTTAAATTTTTTCTCTAAGCTATTTTTATTAATACAAATTTAAATTCATTTAGGCTGTGTTCTTAATCTTCCGAGAAGATATTTTATTCAGCCTTCTGGAAAAAATCTCAAAACCGTTAAAGGAAGATATCGTCCTTGGTTTTAACCAAGGTCTTTCTAAATAAAAAAAAATCTTCAAAAATTGGTAATTTTTCTCTTAGGCATACCCCTGCATGAGCAATTTTGCTCCACAACCTAGAAATGCTGGGGCGATGGAGGGGGGATTTAATTTTTTCTAGAAACCATTTTTATTTTCACGCCTTGTATAGGTGTTAAAAAAATTATTTAAAAAATCCACGTCTTTGTATAGACCCTGAAAAATTATTTTTAAAAAATCCACGCTATAAAAAAATATTTTTTTCAAATCCAAGGAACGACTGACACTACAGGAACTAAAACTACCACACAATAGACAACAAACACAACTAATTGATAAAAAATATTTCAAAAATGTAAAATTCAAAGCAATTTTGGATAAATGGAAATATTTTTACCAAAATTATGATTTTGAAAAAAAAAATATTTTTTGTAAAAATTCTGGGTTTCTTTTTTTTAATTCATTGAAACGTATTTCATATCTATTTTTTTTTTTTTTTTTTTTTTTTTTTTTTAATTTATATAAAATTTTTTTTCAATGTGTATGAAAGTTTTTTTTTTTTAAATTATTGCCAAATGATTTTCTTTTCAATAAAATTTTCCTTATTTTTTGTCTGTAAGTGATTGGGTTGGTGAGGTTTGGTTGCTGGTGATGGGTGGGGTGGGTGTTTTGGTATTATGTTGGAATAAAAAAAGTATTTCATTTTGTTTTTTAATTTTTTTCGTTTTATTATTTAAAAAATATATAGAAAAAATCAACAGTTTGTTTTTTAAATGTTTTTTGTTTGTATTTAAACAGTAAAAAATTGTTTTCAGTGTTTTTTGTATTTACGTTTTTCGTTTGTTTGTTTTATATAATAGTTAATAATAATAATAAAAAAAATTAACAAAATCATTTAATATTATTTCGCTTCGCACAAAAATTGTTCAGTTCTTATATAAAAAAAATAAATCAAAAAATTAAAAAAAATCAAACATACATTATTAAAACTAAAAAAATAATATACAAATTCATTGAAATTTAAATATATATGGGAGGAGGAGATTAAGGAGGAGGAGTAAGAGGATCATAGGTTAGGAGGAGGAAGAGAGAAAAACAAACATAAAAACAGAAAATAAATAAATTAATTTTCCTTGTTTTTTTAATACAGTATTTTTTCCATATATAAAAAAATATGTTTTTCTTTAGAAAAAAATTTAAAATAAAATAAAACAGAAAATTTCCGTTTGTATTCAAGAAAAAAAATTCTGGTTTTTGCCATCATACATATAATAATAACTACTACTAAAACTCTAACTTAAACAATTAACAAAAAGAGACACAAAAAAATCAATGCGAGTATATTATTATATATAAAAAAATAATTAATAATAATAAAAAAAATATTTAAAAATAAAAATCGTATTTCTTGGTTGTTTTTTTTTTTCTTTTCTTTTGTGGTGGTTATTTAAAGTATATTTTTCTTTTTTCAAGAAGACAAAAAAAAACAGCCAAAAAATATAACAAAATAATGTGCATTAAATTCAAAACTAAAAAATAAAAATAATTTGAACAAAATGTTTTTTTACATACAAAAAAAAATAAGTGGATTATCGTTTTTCTAAAAAAAATGCTAACTTAATTTTATTAATTTAATAAAAAAAAAATAATTAAAAAAATAAAAAACAAAAATTTTCCTTAAAAACTTATGTATGTATATACCTCAACAATAAAAAACAGAGAGAACAGAAAACATATATGTGTATATATATTTTTTTAAATAAATAATTTAAAATCATTAAAAATACATTTATATAAAAAAATAATAAATGACGACAATGACAAGCAGAAATTTAAAATAAAGAGAGAGCATGAGATTTTATTTTCATTTTTGTGGAATAAGTTTTGGGCAGTAATTTTTACTCTGTCCAAAAAAAAATAATTTTCGGAGAGAGTTGTTTTGTGATAACAAAAAAAAATTAATTTCTAAAAAAAACTGAGCTTTTTTTCAAACACAAAAAAAATTAAAAAAAAAACTAAATTCCTTGTTTTCATTATTTTCATTTGTCTATAAAAAAAATTGGGCCCTTTTCTTGGATTCATATAAATATAACTAAAAACATAGAGAAAGAGAGATTTCAAAGTAGTTTAAATTCAATATTCTTCAAATGTGTTTCAATCCGGCGTCAAATTTAGTCAGGCAGAGATTTGAAATAAAATATTACAATTAAACGAATTTTGTAGGAAAGTAGAGGGGCAAAAATTCTTCTTGGAGATCTCAAATGGATAATAGAAAGGAAAAAAGGCTTCAAAATATGTTTACCAATTGAAATTGATTTCAATTTGTAACCACATTCCAAAGTTTGATTTCTTCCTTTTTATCCTTTTCAATAAAACCAAAAGAGCCTTTGTGGTTGTTCTTAGAGAATCCTAACCTAAGTTTAGTTTTTTCAATATTGTTCCTTCCTTCCTTTTTATCCTTTTCAAGATCCCCCAGATTTAGTCAGGGAGAGATTTCAAATAAAATATTACAATTAAAAGAATTTTGGGGGTCTCAAATATATAATAGGGGAAGAAAATAGGCTTTAAAATCGGTTTACCAATTGAAATGGTTTTCAATCCATTCCAAAACTTACATCCTTCCTTTCTATCGTTTTCAAGACCCCCAACATTTAGTCAGGGAGAAATTTAACAAGAAGAGATAGGGAGCTCAGTCAAGTTGTTGTTGTTTCTTTTTCCATTAAATAAAATATTTTTGAGAATTAACTAATCAAAAAATAAAATGAAAATAAAATTGAAAACATTTCAAAAAAAATTGCTACCAAAACTAAACAAAAAAAACCAAACAACTGATGAGGAGTTGGCGGGAGAGAGAGAGTATAAAAAATAACCAAAAGAGCCTTTGTGGGGTTTGCTCTTAAGAGAATCCTAACCTAAATTTCTTTTCTTTTTTCAATATTATTATTATTATTTTTTGTTTCTTTTCTTTTGTGTTTATATATATTAATAAAGTTTTTACTACTACACATTTAATTAATTAATTAAATATAAAAAAGGAGATTTTTTTCTTATGCTTCTTCTTAATTTTAGTTTTAGAATTATTATAATAATAAAAAAAGCATCATCATCATTTAACTTGTGTGTGTTTGTTTTGAGAGGGTTTTTTGTTAATAATTAATTAATTAATAATAATAAAAAAAATATTCAAAACAAAGCTCAGTCCATTTCTGTTGCAAAAAGGTTTTTTTGTTTTTCATTTTTCTTCTTTGTGGAAAAACCTTAAGTTGGGTGTGTGTAAAAAATTTTTAAGATTTTTTTACACTTTTTTTATAACGACCTATAAGTAGTATATCTTCTAAAAGACATATATGTATATATGCATGTATATAATAATAATATTACAAATATAAGTTAAGCATTTCATTATCGCTCGTGTGGGGGGATTTATCATTCAAAACATAATCATTTTCGATTTTCTTCTTCATAAAAAAGGAATTATTACAACTTGTTGTTTTTGTTTTTAAGCATATTACAGATAATTAATTAATTAATCAATCAACATCATATCTTTTCTTTAATAATATATGTATATATTTTTTGTTTTTTATGTGTGGGTGTGTAAATAAAATATATGTATATACTATATATATATAATAATAATAATAAACGTAAATAATAATCAAAAAAGAAAACAAATAAAAATAATCAAAATAAAACTACTTACTAAAATTCTTAGTTAAAAAATCTATGTACTATATAATAATAATAATAAAAATAAAAAACAAATTCATTTTTCCTTTTCTTTTCTTATATAGAGAAGAGAAGAAAAATAAAAACATTTATCCTCTGTTGGAAAAAGTCTTTCTTATATAGAGAAGAAGAAAAATAAAAACATTTATCCTCTGTTTGAAAAAAGTCTTCTTCTGTTCGAATATTATTTTTATAAATAGCTATAATTAAAAAAATAGAGGACCAACAAACAAAAAAAAACAAGCACAAGTAAACATTAAATTAGCCAAAGGGGAAAGTGGGCCAGGGGAAAGGGGGGCGGTCAGGGGAAAGTAGAGTGTCATAAGTATACTTGTTGGGGGGAGGAATACAGAATACAAAAATATTACATACACATAACTAATTAACTAACAAACTAATTAATTAATATTAAAAAAAAAAACAATAATAATCTTTAAAATTTGATTTGATTAATTTACAAACCAACTGGTGGTACTTGCACATAACGATATATATATAGACGATAATCTTTACTGGCCAACACCACGCTGCCATCGTCCATCAGTGCCACATCAAAGCACTGGGCATGCTTCACCTTCGACTCCAATGCCGAAACCAATTGTCCATCCTGTGTGAATATGGTCAAATTGAAATTATTATGATTGTCGGCAATTAAAATTTCTCCATTGCTGTTGATGCCCACACCAATGGGATAATTGGTGACACCTTCACCGCCAATCTGTCGCAAATATTGGCCCTCATAATTAAACACCTTAACGCAATGGGCCCGATTGTCACTGATGAATATTTCCTGTTTATCATTTACCACCACTCCATTGGGGAATTCCAAATGTTTACTGCATCCAAACTTGTGCAACACATTGCCATTTTGATCGAAAATAATCACCCGCATCACCTTACATTCCACCACAATAATCCTGCCCTTATTGTCCACCGTAACACCTCGAGGATGTTGCAGAATATTCGCTCCGAATTTACGCACAAATTGCCCGTACTGATTGTAGATCTGTATTTGGTGTGTGGGCGAACGTTCCGTGACAATAATATCACCGGAATTGCGTACCACGGCCACACGATTGGGATACAGCAGCTGGGAGTCACGTTTACCGCATTCACCAAATTGGAATTTGAAGCGGCCCTCCTTGTCGAAAATCTGAATACGATGATTGTTGGTATCGGCCACAATAATGTCATTTTGGGCATTGACGGCCACTCCGCTGGGCTCTGTGAACTGGCCCTCCATCACACCAAATTCCCCAAACTTGCAGTGATAGATCATTTTTTGCCGCTTGATCTGGGACTTGGGTGGATAGATGGAAGCCGACAACAGCTTTGATGTCAAATCCATGATGGAATCGGAACTGGAGCAGCCACTGCCATTGGTCATATTCAATGCTGTCAAAGCACTGGTGGGTAGGCCGCCGCCATTTGTGGTGGCCACGGTGGTGCAGCTGGAAACACCATTACTACCGCCCAACATTTGGTTGGCTGTCGTCGACGAGAACGGATCCGAGCCATTTGTGGAAAACAAATTATCTGAACCACCATTGCTCCACTTTTCATAGGGATTACTGGCTGGCACGCCCACAAATGCAGACACCGCCGCCGCATTGCCGGAGGCGGCATTGGAATTGAAACGTTTTGCCATCAAATCTTCAAATGCTGAACTATGGCCGCCGGCGGACTGCAGGTGATTGCGTCCCAACAATGCACTGGAATATGAGGTCTCCAGCAGTTGGGCCGACAAACCCAAACCACCGGGCAAATGTGATCCACCAGTAACACTGGAATTCGAGGAGCCACCACCATGTGACGACGATGATGAGGTGCTCTGTGATGGCCTGGCAATGGGTGGTTGCTTCACCTGCTGTTGCATAATGTCGCCCGATGAGGCCCGTATATAACCAAAGGTATTCCTCACGCCAGCCTGTATGGACTGATAGTTTGACATAAATTCCAATTCGAAATGCATTTGCAGTTCTTGGATGGCGGCCTGCAACTGTAGCTCCAATGTTTTGCGCAACATCAAAACCTCGGTAATGGTGTGGGCCTTTGGCGATCGCTCAATGGCATCACATGTCTGTAGGGTCTTTTCAATCAATTCCTTGGAGCGTTGTATCCATGCTGAGTGGGTGGCCATTTTGGCATTGTAGAGTCCTTCCAATTCCTTCATCAGTTCCTGTTTACGTTCATCCAACATGGAGCAGAAGAACTGATAGGTTTCATTGACCTCATTGTGGGCCTTTTGATACTGTAACTTGATCTTAGATCCATTGAGAATTTGATTGTCTCCGGGTGTGTTTTGACTGCCAATGAGTGAGACAATTTCGCCCACCTTGCCGCGTAAATCGCCCAAAACGGTTTGCAGCACGGTTTCGGGTGTGGATTGTTGTTGGCTGGCTCCGCCGCCGCCTCCCATTAGGCTACTCATGGAACCCAGGCCATTCTCTTGGACATGTTCGACTTCATGCATGCCGGAGGAATGTTCCAAGACGACACACTCTTTGCATACCAGGGTGCAACAGGTGCGGCAGCTAAATTTCAATACTTCATTTTTGTGACGTGGACACAACAGGGATTGTTGATTTTGTAGGGTTTGTTGTAACAGCTGTTGTTGTTGTTGCTGCTGTTGTTGTTGGCTTCTGAGCGAGGGTAACATACTGGAAAATATATCATCCTGAGAACCATCCGGGGAATTCAGGGAATTCATGTCATGGTTGTTAAACGACGAGGCAGCGGCGGCGGCAGCTGCTGCGGCTGCTGCCGAGCTGAGCACAATTTTTGATAATTGTGACAATGGTTGTTGTTGTTGGGAATTTGCCTTTTGCATTTGCTGCTGCTGTTGTTGTTGTTGTTGCTGCTGTTGCTGTTGCAACATCATGGTAAGTGAACTGGAAAATTTAAAATCCATGGGATTACTGCTACCATTCATGTGTTGGGAATTGTTGCTGCTGTTGTTGTTGCTGGGTGTGACGCCACTCTCAAATCCCTTAATCAAACACACATTGTGACCATTGAAGCAATGCATAAATTCATGGGCTGTGCAACAGTTGCCACACAAGAAACTGATACAATCGAAACATTTGGCCACAGCATCCGATTGTTTGCTCTTACAGGCCGTGCAGCGGGGTGCAGCTCCAGTACCATTGGCGGTGGTGACATTTATGACATTGTTGTTATTGCTGCTGCCACCTCCCAATAATGAGGGGCTACCTTTGCCACTGCCAATAACACCGGGACCATTACTACTGCCACCATTACCCGAATTTGAACCAGTACTTGATGCACTGCTGGAGGTGCTGCCACAACCACTCAAACCACTGCTGGACAACGATGATGTAGACGAAGCCGATGACGAGGCTGATGATGTGCTCGATGCTGATGATGATACCGACGAGGCGGAGATAATATGCTGACCCACACCACCGACTACTGTCTGCCCGACAACACTGGCAAAATCATCACAAATTGCCGAATCGGAAACGGGTGGTGATGAACCGCTTAGTGTGAGTGGTGAATCGGATAGATAACCGTTATGTTCAATATAGGATTCAATGGAATTTGTACCACCGCGTATTGAGTCCAACGATGGCGTTGGAGATGTCGCCATTTTGAGTATGGCTACGTTGTGATGATGAAATTGTTGTTGTTGGTGTGGGGGATGATGGTGGTAATTGTTGTTGTTGTGTGGATTGTTGAGATTTTCCTTTAGTTTTCCAATTTTGAAGCCGTTCTCTGACACTTTGTTGGAGAAGAAAAAGATGGATGGGGGTTAGGTGTGTGTGTGTGAAAACCTGTAAGAAAAAAAGGGCGATTAGTATTTTTTTTTCTAAAATTTGAATTAAAAAAAAATTTATTAAAAGAAATTGTTGTTGGGATTTACAGTAGCCATTGTGGACCCTTAAAAAATATTTAAATAATTTGTTGTTGGGATTTACAAGCAGGCACAATGCCTGCACAATGGGGTCCACAATGCCTGCTGGAAAATCCCTTTACAGTAGCCAATATTGTGGACCCTACCTGTGGACCCTTAAAAAAATATTTAAATAATTATTGTTGGATTTACAGTAGCCATTGTGGACCCTACCATTTCCTTTGGTTGCTTACTCTACTTTTTCCATAATCAAGTTAGGAATTGTGGTTGGAGAATCTAGAGAAATTAAAAAAAGGCTTCCTCAGTAATGAATCGATATCGTCGCTCCACAATTTTTAAACCTTGCTAAGTGCCTATGCAAATTTTAAATTAGACCCTATATCCCTACTCATATTTGGGTGCTAAACATTTGAGACTACAAAGAAAAACATTTGGGGTTATGTCATTTTTTTGAGGTTGTAATGAATATTTTTGAGGTTATAATGACTATTTATTGAGGTTATAATTAATTTTTTAAGTTGTAATGGATATTTTTGAGGTTATAAAGATTTTTTGAGAGGTTATGTTTTTTTATAAAGAATATTTGAGAGGTTTTGATTTTTTGAGGTTATAATGAATATATGATGAGGTTATAATGAATATTTTTTGGGGTTATAAACGACTACATTTGAGGTTATGCTTTTCTTTTTCCCGAGGCCACATTTAAAGAAAAATTTATTGTTTTTTTTCAATACTCAATATATATAATTCTTTATTTAAACAAGAAGAGAAATAACAACATTTAAAAAGTTTTCATTCAATTTCAATTAATTCATAATAAGTTGTTTATATGTGTGTGGGGGCGAGGGGTCACTCCCCCCACAGGAGATAGAGGTGAATAACATTTCAATAACAATGTTTAATTTTCTGATTTCTGAAACCCATTTTGGAGGTTTTCTCTTTCTCTATTTGCTCAGGCCCATTTCACTTAAAATCTTGAGGGCATTTCGGGCAGCATCCTCCTGCGACTCTTGGGCATTGGCGCCAATGCCATGACATATTTGTGGTGGATTTGTTGAAATCATAACAATCGATAGAAATTCGTTGTGATTGCCTTTGGGATAATCGGAGAAGTCGACTTCGAAACCCATTAGCTTGGCCAAATAGATGAGTTTATCTTTCATATAGAGGCCGGAAGAGGGTTTGGTGGTGGTGGAAGTATTGGGAGATGTTGCTGGTTTAATACTGGTTTCTTGGGAACTTGCAGGTTTTTCCTCTTCCTCCTTTTTCACCTCCTTCTTTGCCTCTTCCTGTTTCATGACAACGGCTATGGGGGCGGCTGGGGTTTTAGGTATTTCTTTGGAAGTTTCCTTTTCCTCTAAGGAGCTATCCACAACTTTCTTGGTATCACCAACACTCATTTTGCCATTAGGAGATTTAGAAAGAACAGCCTCTTCGGTGTTGCTGCTGTCCACCACACCCAATGCCATCAACATATTTTGTGCCGCATTTCGCCGAGCCGTTTTCTTACTATTACCCACACCACGTACGGTAATATCTTTGGTCCCGACCTCCACCACAAATTGTCGCTGACGGGACCTCAGCTGATCCTTGCCGGCGGCTTCGGTAATCAATTTGAATAGGGGTTCCTTTTCTTTGTTGTGTTGACACCATTCAACCAATTTGGTAATGGGATTTGAGGCGGCATCGGCCGGCTCGGAATCTAGACGTTCACGTTTTTTATTTCTATCGCCAGCTCTAGACGAGGAGAACCCAGCGGCATCTTTTTTATCTCCCATTTCCTTTTTGTTGGATTTTCTTCCAGACCCTGGAGCCCCTCCTTTACCAGCACCACCAGCCTTAACCCTTTTATTGGGTGAATTTGCATTGGGAGCTCCCGTCCCCGTGTTGACCGGTTCCATGGGTGGTAATTTCTTCAGCTCCTCCAACATTTTCTGGGCCGCCTTCTTTTTCGAAATCTTTTTTCCCGTACCCTCAGCCTCTGTGACAATCTGGCCCACAATACAGGCTGTGGTAAAGGTACGCATATGAGCGGGACCATCTTCCCGCAATATTTTAAAATCTACCGGTAGATTGCGTTTGATGCCAATTTCAAAGACCATCGATATGGGTGATTTATTATCGCCATCACCCTCTTCATCGTTTTTCTCTGCATCGTTTTCCTTTTGCTGGGCAGCGGCGGCCGTCATTTCCTGCTTGAGAGCCTCAATGGCTTGGGCGGCAGCATCATGTTTAGCCTGTTGTATAGTTCTGCCAGTACCAATGAATTTTTGCGTACCCACAATTAGGGTAATTTTACAGGGAGTGGGAAAGAGAGGCGCATGATGAGGATGATGATGGGCGGCCATCATGTGGGGCGGTAGCATTGGATAGCCGTGTGGAGGAGGAGGATAGTTGGGGCCACCAGCACCACCTCGAGGTTGCATATGCATAAGAGCTGCCGCCGGATTATGATGGGCCACCAAGTTGGGTACAAAGGTGCCAGCGCCGCCACCTCCATATTTCATAGAATGATGTAATTGATTGGGTGTTAGCAAACCACCACCCGGCGGTATGCCAACGGCAACTCCAGCCCCTGCACCAGGCCCACCACCTCGAAAGCGTGGCCCCATGTTCTTGTTGCCCTTATCTCCTCCTCCACCATCCGCCGCACCACTGGCCGCCTGCGACTGCCTGGGATCAAAAATATAGTAGGTCTGTAGACCCAATTTCATGGCCAAGGCATTCAATTCCACGGTGGGTGTAACATTGACCTTGGCCGCACCCGCACCCTGTTCATCACCATTACGACGATTGGCCTTGGGTATGGGATGTTTATATTTGGTCTTGAGGATGGCCTCCTTGGCGGCCAAATGTTGAGCTTCTTTGATTTTCAAACCCTCGGCCATGTATTCCTCATCGCCCAATTTTAGGGTAACGGTAAAACGTTTACAATGCGCAGGGCCATTTTCCCCAGTTAGACGATATTGAAAGGAGATTTTATTGAAACGGGCCAGATCGTTGACCAAACACATTGGGGTTTTTTCACGGGAACTTTTCAAGTCATTAGTCGTCGAAGAAGAAGAAGCGTCCTTGGGGGGATCGGAAACCATATCAGCACCTCCAGAGGTAGGAGGGTTATTGGTGCTGGACTTATCGATTTCTGAAGCTTCATGGGTTGATATTTTATCGCTTGATTTTGTTCCATCTCCTGCAAGTTTCTCGGGGGAGATTTCTTCGGGAGATGGCGGCTTATTGGCAGAACTTTCCTCATTTTGTTTCTCCTGGGAGGTGGGCGGATTTTTCTCCTCAAAGTTTAAGGATTTTAGGGAATTTATAGGAACATCATCATTGGTAGTGGATGACTTTGAGGCCGTTTTGTTACCAGATCCACCTCCTCCTGCAGCCGTTTGGAACTGTCTTGAAGTCATTTCATTCAATTTCTTTGAATTTAGACACCCACCATAGGCGGCTGCGGATGCGGCTATGACATCCGAACCTTTCGTTTGGGCCGAAAAAGTCGAAGAGGAGTTGGGTTTTCCTTGCTCATGGCCCAGAATTTTCAAATTGCTGGACGACTGTGGTTGTTGTTGTGGTGGAGGATGATTTGGGGCCCCGGGAGCCATGGGTGTGGGTACATTAAGTGGACCTGACAATGTTGTTGTATTGGCATAACTAGAATTTTGTTGAAGATGAGGGGCATGGTGTTGTTGTGTGGATGCTAGTGGAGCTGGTAGGTTAGTAGAGGAGGAGGTTTGGTGATGATGATGTTGTTGTTCGTTGAGATTGGTTCCTTGGGATGGCGGTACAAGTTTTCCTGCTCCTGAACGCATTTTATTAAACGTTTGCGGATTGTGATGATATTTTTTATTGCCGCTTCCTGATAATCCACCTCCTGCTCCTCCTCCGCCGGTCATACGATTGTAATGCATATAAGGTGGTGGTGGTATACCTCCCACCCCTCCTCCAGCAATGCTGCTATTTGTTGCCTCCATAAAATTGTGATAATTTTGAGAGCGGTGTGGACGCTGTTGCATATTTGTTGGTGGTGGTGGCATTGTTGGTCCTACTCCTCCTCCAGCTGCTGCTTGAAAACCGGCCATATTTAAGGCATGTTGTTGTGGAGGTCCACCTAAGGAGGAGGATAGTGGTGGTGGCGGCAGTGGTCCACGCATATTATGATGTCCATGAATATGTTGCTGTTGCTGCTGCCTCGCTGCCGGCATATTAGGTGCTGCTGATGATGATTGTTGGTGTTGGTTTTGTTTTTGCTGACGATGATGATGATGGTGATTCATTTTTTTTCCAAAGCCACGGAGAGTGTCTGTAATAACATAATGGTGGGGTTTTGGTATCACAAGGAAGCGCACAGTCAGGGCATGAATAGTTTTGTTGACGTTAAGATTAACACAAAATTAAATTAAAAAAAGGCCGATTTTCCAGTTTTTCGCAGACGACGAGGGTGGATTGAATTTCGGAAATACCGCCCCAGCATAATAAAGAAAATATGACGGGCGGGGGAGGAGGATAATTTCGAAAATAAAATTTATATCTCAACGAACAACAAAAATATTCCCGGACCATGCATGCATACCACAACAACAACACCACGAGCCACTCAACAACACGATGCTCTTCATACACCTTGAAAATGTTTATGTTTTTTGATTCAATATTTTTGATTCAGAAAATTTATATATGTTTTTGGTTCAATATTTTGGATTCAGAGAGGGTAGAAGAAGAGAGAGAGAGTGCCCATATCAATTTGATATTAAATTTTAGTTAAATTTGTTTTTATAGTTAGTATCTCTTCATATTCAAAATGGCATATTTTTATAGGTTCCAAAAAAATTAAATTGAAAAAAAAATTTTTAAATATTAAAATACTTAAATATTAAAATATTGTTATAAAACGTTGGGTTGGTTATATATATATATATATATATATATATTGGTTGGTTATTCAATCCACCCTCGTTTGTATGACGTAGATTGGGGGGCTCAAATAGGCCTCTAATAATGGCAGCAACATTTACATGCACTGTTTTATTTACTTTGTAGTACGCTACGACTAAATATGCCTATTATCTACTGGACTAACTTTTCTAAATACCTTTAAAATACCGAAAAATCGGAGTATACAATTCAATGGAATCCTATACAAAAGGTGGACCCGGTATAGATACTTTTTTGGTGGGGAAAATCAAATTAAAAAAAAAAACCTTCACCACTTTGGGTATATTCTATAAATATGTATCCTACGAATTTCGAATTGAAAACATTGAAATATTTTATATTTATCTATAAGTTAACCGACTAACATTAATCCGAGCCGATTTCCACGACATTTAACACACATCATTCTAGACTTAATTCAACAACCTATACCAAAATACCGTATAAATCGAAAGATATATAGGAACTTTGGTACACCATTTACATAAAATCGGCCGAAAGTATATATGGGAGCTATATCGAAATCCAAACGGATTTCCACGAAATTTAGCACACATTATTCTAGACTTATGCAAGTACGATATACCAAATTTCTTGCAAATCGAAAGACATATGGGAACATTGGTGCACCATTTAAATAAAATCGGTCGAAATATGTATATATATATATATATATATATATGAGAGCTATATCTAAATCTGAACCGATTTTTCTCAATTTCAATAGGATTCCGTCCTTGGACCAAATAAATGAGCTGTGCCAAATTTCATCCAATTCGGATCATAAATGCGACGACCTGTACTTTGTTTACAATTCTGGACTATTTTTTTAAGCTTCAACTCAAAATCGAATATTTGAAAATGATCATCATCGTATTCTGGGTAAATTTTTTCAAATGAATCCCTTTTAAAAATTCATTAAAGGATGTGTTGAAAACAGAAATATTGAATAGTTCAAATTGGCATTCAAAATTCAGATTGCAATTGAAATAAAAATTGTAATTTTGAGGGCCTTCGGGGAGGATTCAAAATCCAATGACTTGGGCAAAATTTCCAATAGGTATATTCATAGGATGGAAGAGGAGGAGTCAAATTAATCCTTTATGTCCCATTTTACTTCCACAACAACTGAATCACGTTTTGAAAATCTCGGATGATTGATTTAACTGACCTCATAGGGTAACTTTAAAATTAATCCTATTTGAAATGTAAAAATAAAATTATTGCATTTTTCAAAAATCAATAATTAAGTAGCTTTGCATTGGTCCTGTGTGATGGAAATTGTTCTTTAATAGGGCACTAATAACTTATTCAGGGTATATGTTTTAAAAACTAAAGACCTTAGATTTACCTTGGTCCACAATATCAATGTTTTATATGTATTCCAGAAAAATCCTAAAATTTGTTTTATTTCTATCCATTAAATCCTGTGTGATGGCAATTTGCTCCTTAACAAAAGACATATAAGTTCTTCGGGATATATGTTTTCAAAACTATAGGTCTTACGGGATATCTTTTTTGTATAAAGCTCTATTTTCAGACCCTATTTAAATTTAAAAAAAATATTAATTCTTCAAAAATTATTAATTTAATAATTTTACCTTTTAAAGGGTCCCAAAATTTGAATAATTTTATATAACCCAAAAAATCCTATTTTTTCTTCCATGAAATTCGATTATAATTGTCCTTACAAATCTGTCTTTTTCCTTTTTGGTTAGGACTTCCACGATTTCACATTTCCTGACATGTGGATTATCCTTCTTTTTTTAAATACTATAAGGCCAGTCATTTTATATCAATTGTTTTGTATTAAAACGCTGTTAGCCTTCCCTGGAAATCTAAGGTACCATTGTAGTACCTTGGAATTGTTAATTATAACCTAAAAAAATGGCATGTGTTCTCTAAAATTCCCTCACTTCCCTCAATTTGTCCTATTTGTAAAATCCAACATTAAATTAATATTATTCAAATTATAATGAAAATCCAAAAAAAAAACTTACCTATTTGTATTGGTTTTTGTTGTTGTTAATTTTTGTGTTAAGTTGACGATGGAGTAATGCAATACAACACGTCCCTTATGGTCAGAATTTTTTCGCTATTTTTCCCTTCTTTTTTTGATGATGACGATGATCTTCTTTTTGTTGTAGTTTTTGTTAATACTATAATATTCCTTTGTAGTTGTTATTATTATTTTGTATTTGATTTCCAGTTGTTGAATGATAAAACAAAACCTTTAATCTCTCTCTGCAAGTTCCGTTTCTTATTTTCTTTTCTTCTTTTGTTTGTTTGTGATAACAAAATTCAGCAAATCACCATTTGCCCAAATGGCGCTGCTGCTGCTGTTGGGAGTGTATAGTAGTTGGTTGTAGCAAAAGTGTAGTATACGTTTAGGCGCTATTCTGTTCTATTATATCAATGGCCAAAAATACACTACACAACAAATCGAGTCCACCACCAGCAACGTTTGAAAACATTTCCTTGTCTCCGTTGTTGCTCTCTTACAACACTCTAGCTCGCTCTCTTCTTTTACAAATTGTTTTCTCTCTTGTTTTGTGAGTTATCTCTTTTTGCTCTCTCTTTCTGTCTGTTTCTTTGTGCTTGTTGTTGTTGTGTGGTTACTGCAAAATAATGCGGCGTTTTATGAAATATTGTTGCTTTTTTTATTCGTTTTGTTGTTGTTTTTGTTTATGATGAAGTTATTATAAAAAAGAACAATGTTTTTTGTTGCGCTCTGCTTTGTGTGTTTATTGTTGTTGTTGTTGGTAAGTTTTGTGAGTTTTACCTTTTTTAATTTTGTTGTTTGTTTTGTGTTAATTTTTTTCTTTCAATTTCTCTTGAATATTCACAGCAGAATACTCAAGTTAATGATGATGGAGGAGACGACACAAAAAAGGATTCCTGGAAGAAAAACAAAGAAAAATGGTTAATAATAAATTAAGACAAAAATAATGATTAATAATATAACAACAATAATAAAATCCAATATTATAATTTAGTTATTTGCACTTTAAAATATAATTCTCTTCATTTGTATTATTCTTTTTTGTTTGCTTTGCTTTCTTCCTTTTTTTCTCTATTAATTTATTTTTTTGTTAGAACGCACCTTCACATCACACCTTAACAATTGTAACGACCTAACTATTATGCAGTAGTGCGAGCGTCGCCGTAACACAACAGTAAACGACCCGGGAAATGTCGAATGTTTTCCAACCATCCAGAACACAACCAAGCAAGCAGGCAAGGCAAACAAACAAACTCACCACACACAACAACAACACCACCAAAAAAGGAGGAATAGAAAAGAAATAACACGCACACACACACACACATCTATCATAACAGCCTAGCTGCCTGCTCGGCTTTGCTTGCACATAATGACGAATGCCGCCGAAAACCAAACTCACTCATGATTTGTTTTAACACTCACTTGGATAAAAGGAAAGAGAGAGAGAGCCGCCAAAAAACACCAACGAAAATGTTATGGAAAAAGGGAACAAGAAAATGGGGGAAAATTGCACGGCACAACAAAACAAAAAAACACTTTAAAAGTTGAAACAGCAAACTACATGCAGAAAGAATGAAGAAGCATCAGTAACAGTAACAGAAGAAGAAGCATCAGTAACATATGTTATCAGTGTTGCCAACTTATTGATAATGCTCAGTTAATGATTATTGGTAACCAAGATCATCATATGTTGATGGTGATAAAAGGACAATATGTACCAGAGATTAGTGAAACACGTAACGCAACGTAAATGACATTATAAAAAATAATAGGAAAACGAAAATAAATTAAAAAAGAAATGAAAAAATAAAAAGAAAACAAATAGAAATGAAAAAGTAAATGTAATACAATGAAATTTAACGAATAATGAAGACCAAAAATAGAAGAGAAATGCTAATATAAGCAAAAACAAAATTAATTGCCATCGAAAGGGAGAGATAGAAAGATCAAACCTTTGTCATCATATGATAAATATGACAATAGGTACAGAGATTACTACGTAACGTAAACGCAACGTAAGTGGCTTTTTGGAGAAATTTAATGGAAATATGAGATACATTAGTTTTTTTAAACAAAATAAAAAGAAAATACACATCAAATGGGACAAACCCTTAAAATGTGGTAATTTTAAAAAGAAATATGTGAAAAAAATGCTCAACATAGGAAATAATTCAAATACTTGGAAGGTAAAAAAGTAATCGAAAGATCAAAACATCACATGATAATTGACAACACGTAAGGGTGGGTTATTGAAACGTAACGCCA